CCTCCAGACGCAGAAGAAGAACCCCGTCAGTACTCCCAGCTCCAGCACACCTCACTACATCTCTACCTCTTCATCGTCCTCCCCCTCCCTGTCCCGGCCCGCCGCGTCCTCTCTGACCTCCGTGAGGGTGGAGGGGGCGGGGCTTGTTAAGGGCACGCCGCAGCAGAACAGACACACGGTTCTGAACACTCAGAGACCTTTAAGCGTGGGCGTGAGCAAAGCAAACATGCCCGTTTCAGTTTCTCCGCCGAAACCACGTCCTCCCCCCACCGCATCTCCGCTAGTGGCCCCGGGACCGAAGGCGGGGGTCTCCGTCTCCCCCTCCGGCCTCCTCAAAGGCAGCAATAATAAATCCACCAGTGGGGACACCATCATCATCACTTCAACGCCGTCTCGGCCGCACACCCTCACGACGCCGTCGCTCATCAAAACCTTCCAGACGTCCCGCCTGCCCCAGATCAAACCCCCCACCTCCCTCCCGCAGACCCAGCCTCAGCCGCAGTCTAACTTCATCACCCCCATGCACGCCACCCTCACCAAGTCAACCCACAGCAGCATCCCACCCATCGTCAAGCTCACCCCCCGTGCCCCCACCCCCGCCGCCCCCTCCTCCACGTCCTCGGCCTCCGTCCCTCAGAACCCTCGCTCTCAGGCAGCGCCTGCCGTCCCTCAGATCCCTCGCTCTCAGGCAGCGCCCGCCGTACACCAGTACACTCCCAAAACCCAGGCCAGCTTCCGGCCGCCGTTCTCAGGTGCTTCAGGGGGAGTCGCCAAGTCGGGTCAGGGCAGCTACACTCCTCAAAGCGGCCAGAAGACCCCCGGCGTCATCAGCGCCACCAACACCAGCCTTATAAACACCTCATCTATGAGCAAGCATTCAGGAAGCAGTGCCTCCATCGCAGCAGCCTCAGCGACCCCGGGCCAGCGTCAGCGCGCAGTGGGCGGGGCGCCTCAGGGCGCCAAGCCAGTGGTGTCTGTCCCGCTGTCCTCGGTCTCCTCTCAGCTACCGCAGGTAAGCATCAGCGGGGGTCCGAACTGCCCCGATGTTTGATCCAGATCAGGGAATTTAAACCCTTTTTTTTTCTCGCTCAGGTTTCCACGACAGGAAACGCCGGTCTCCTTGGCTCCGCCTCCTCCCTTCCCCTGGGCTTCGGGATGCTGGGGGGCCTGGTGCCCGTATCGCTGCCGTTCCAGTTCTCCCCCATGCTGAACCTGTCCCAGCTGGGCAGCGGACCCTCCAACACGGCGACCAGCAGCTCGGCGGCCAGCAGCAGCGCCGCCTTCTCCACCTTAACCCAGAGTGAGTGGAAGGAAAAAAGAGGCGGAGCGTTTCTGTTTGTCTGAGTCCCCCTTCTGTTTGATGTTTGTCGGCATCATTTGTTTGATCACCATATCGTTTGTCTGAACGTAATTAATGTTTTTCTATTTCATTTTGTTCATCTCCCTCATCCTCTCTTTCCTCCCCTACCTTCCACCCTGATATCTGCCTGTTTCCTCCCTCCTCCTCCCCCCTCCTCCTCCTCTGTATCGTTGGCATCTTTCTCCTCCCCTCCTCGTCGCCCTGTCCTGTCTCCTCAGATCTGTATAAGAGTCTCCAGTCAGGGTCTCAGGTTGCTCTGCCTCCTCACTTGCAGCTCGCTTTCTCAGGTAAAATCTGACCCCTCCTGTTCCTCCAAGCCTGCTCCACCTCCTCTCCTCCTCAGCCTGTTCTCTTTAAGTGTCTGCTGTTCGGTTTTTCAGCCTGTCTGGTTCTGTTCTCATCTGTCGGTGGCAGCATGTCTCGGTGGAGTTGATTTGATTTCTGTTTTGATGTGTAAAACACCCTTAACTGCATAATCTACATTATAAATATCCAAACTTTAATTTGAATGTTTGTTTTTCTGTCACTATAAATTCATGGCCCCTTTCAGAGTTTCTTTGAAATAAATGTCCAAACGATCCATCTGGATCTTGGCATCAAACAAAAGGTTGATACAGGGAGAAGCAACAATGCCCACTGTAATGTACAGTGGAGGATCTGTGATGCTGTGGGCCTGTTTGCTCTATTTCCAGGAATGTTTTTTTTTTTTTTTTTGGGGGAGTAAAATGACATCTTGAATTCTAGAAAGATTTAAGGTAGGGCGGGGTCATTAATCACCTTTTTTGTTTATGAAGGTTTTAAGTTTTGGCAAATTTTAGATCTAATTTAGTCCAGAAGGAATTTTGTTCATGTAAACGTATCTAGTATCATCACTTTTCCTTCTGAGGTCTCATTACTAATAGCCTAGCAGACGTGCGATACCGACTGCTGACATTTAGTTGGTTATATTTACATTGCTGTGAAACCCGATTATTTAACAATCAGATTTCTTAGCTTTAATTTTGTTGACCTTTTAAATTAAAGTCGCCTTTAATAAGGTAAATTTAAACCAAAAATATATATATATATATTTTTTTTATAAAATTCAAGTGAGGAAGTGAATCGATTGATCAGATTCGGTAGGAAAATATCAGGTAATTAATTCCAAACAAAAGTTAAAAACAACCCGCTGGACTTTGTTTCCAAGTTTGAAGATGTTTTGTTTCCCATCCAGGAAGATTTTTCAATTTAAAAAGTCAAAAATAGCGTCGAGTTCAAGATTTTATAGAGTGGACCAAAAACAGAGCCTTGTTTTGGCTTAGAAATCATGTAAATGGCACCAGACGAGCGGGTCGCCTCACCTCGTCAGCCAGACCAACAATCCCCTTTAACGACGCTCCTTTCAGAGACATAGACGGGTTTGGCTAACAAAACGACCCCCAGTCCAAAGCGGCAGACCCACTCATAAGGTTCATTTTACATGTTTTCTGAGACAAAACAAGGCTTTGCTTTGGTCCACTCTATAAAACCTTGAGCTCACTTTATTTCTGACATTTACTGTAGAGTTTAAAAATCTTCCTGGATGGGAAGCAAAATGTCTTCAAACTTGTAAACAAAGTCCAGTGGATTGTTTTTTTTGTTTGTTTGTTTAGTGACCTGGATGACTGAGAATCTTCACCAACATGTTAGATCAGTCCTCTTGTCCAGCCCTGTTTATTCTCTGTTTTAAAGACTTATTTCTTCATTTTCTTCTGTCTTTCTTTCCTCTGCTGTTCTCTTTCCCTTCCTCTCAAGTCTTCTTTTTTTCCTCTCCTACCTTTTCATTTTCCCTCATGACTTTCCTTGATCAATCTTTATCTTGTCTTCTTCCCATATTGTTTCCTTTCTTTCTTGCCTGTATTCCCTGTTCTTATTTCTTTCTCTCTTTCAGCCTTGTGTAACATTAGAGCTGGACAATCATGCAGTATCCATATAAATCAATAGGATTTAATTCAGTATTGGTGACTTTTACACAAATTTTAGATTTTTCAATATAGTCTATGAATACAGCAATTTCTTTTGCAGTTTTGTGTTTTTAAAAGTAAAGGTTTTAGAACTTCATATTACATCAAATATCTTGTCAGTCTTTCAGGCTATTTTTTAATTTCATATCAAGATATGTTATGCTGACAAAATTTAAGGAATATTGTGATCAAAGTTTTTATCTTCTTTCCTTTTGTAGAAGATCGAGGATTTTTGTGTTAATCTTTTAAAGGGAAAAAACTAATTGAGAGTTTTGTATTTTCAGGAAGGTTGTTATGTAACTAAAGGAGAGGAAATCCAGATATTGACCTGATCCAATTCTTAAATGTTTTACCAGGGAAAAAAAAAAACAATCTGTCTTCCATGATCATCTCAGTTCCTTCCTAGATCTAAACACTATAGAACATCTGGGATGAGGAGAGAAACCAGGACTGACAGATAAATATTTTTTTCTGTTCCCTTTTCAAATCAGATTTTTACAGGAAGTTTCTCCCAGATTTTTTTTTAATTTTTTTTTAGTTTTGCTACCATGCACCATTCTCTGACAGAGCAGGCCCGCAGCATCACAGTGCCTCCACTTTACAAATGGCATGAGGCGCTTTTTCCCAAATATCACCTTTTCTTAGAAGCACGTTTTTATTTTTGGTACCAGCAAAAAAAAAAAAATCACTGATTAGAGATAAAAAGCAATTTTTAAAAATACCCAGATGAAAGGTTTGGTGTTTAGGGGAAAGAGGAGTTGATCGATCCTTAGGTCTGAGTGTTTGCATCACATCCTGTGTGCTTCAGCTTTTGTTCTTTTCTCCCCCAGATGTCGGTCAGAGCCAGGGAGGCGACACTAAGAGGAAGACTCTATGATCCGAGTGGACTTGGTCACCCGTCTAATAATGCAAAGGAGGGGAGGGGCAGATCTGGAATAGATCATGTTTAATAAGGGTCTGGAATCCAGTAGGCTTCACCTCAGCAAATCTTAGAATCACATTTTTAAGACTATTTTATAACTCTTTTTTTAGAGCTGGCAGATAGTTTGTCAATGTTTACAAAACCGACCTTTATCACTGTGGACGGGGAGTAATGAATGGGTTGAGTTTAGACATGTCTGGACTGTGTGCCTTTTGGACGTCTCCCACTCTGATGCATGGTCAGTTTGTCTACTCGGTGCTGTTTTTGGTTATAATAATGTAATTATCACTGAAATCTGTAAGAATTGTAAACTGCAAAATGAATTTGAGCTTTTCTTTTTTTTAAAGAGATGTACATGTTTTTAAATGTACTTGAATAATTTGAGGGATTGTTTCTGTATAGACCGTAAGTTGAAAGAAAATCCTAATGATGCTATCATTAAATATTTCTGCCAAAGGTTTGACAACCTGGCTTAATAGCACAGCTGATGCTGTCATGGTGCATTCAAGTACACCTTGTAAATGTAAAAATGTATTTTGAAATGCTCTTTGAAATAGTAAAAGGTTTTTTTTTTTACTTGTTTTTTCTAGTGTCTATAAAATATGCATGCTAATCTTTCTGGAGCCTAAAGCTTGAGATTAATAATCTCAATGGCAGCTAAACAGACCTTTTTCCTCCTAACTGAAATTTAAGGAGTTTCTGGAGAAATGATACCAACAAAAGCAGAAATATTTAAAGTTTTTTTTACTAACATTTTATCTACAAATACCCAAACAGATGCAAAAGACATCTAAGGAAATTGGATTTAATTGAAACCACTGGTAGGCTTTGTAATCGGTTTAAGTTAGACATGGATTAACACAAATCACAATGAAGGCATGTAAAAGATACCACAACCAAAGAAGACAAAATATAAAAAAGAAAAAAAAGGTGTCGGCCAGAGCAGTTTGTGAAAAGACAGTGAAGTTGACTTCCACTGGCAGTAAGAGGAGGTGGTTACAGGTTGTGTCCACCCTGAAGCTCCTCCCCCTCCGTAGGTTTCCACGCCGAGCGTCGTCGTTTCGCCTATTTGACCAGAGGTCTGGTTTTATCGTCGTCGCTGCACTGGTGGGCTTTGTACTTTTTCACCTCAGCCATGTACTTAGACCAAGCATCGCTCTTGCCTGGTTCAGCCTGCGGGGCAGAGGTTAAGGATTACACACAGTTTAACGCCAACCAGTGATTCAACATGTGGAGCTAGCAAAGCACCGATCAGGCTCATCCGTTTCCTCTGACGTCTGACCTGCTGATTTCTATTTAGAGCGAAAAAACTGAACCAAACTGCACTTCAGAGTCCATTATCACAGACCCCAGAGTGTCTGACATTTCAACTCAAACACTCCAAGGAACCTAAAGTTGGCTAACAGATTCAGACATAAAACAACGAATCTCTCAGATTCATGAATAGAAAATATATTTTCCATAATTGTTCTGCTGGCCACTATTTAGGGGCTGACAAAAAGTCTCTGATCAATCGAAATTCAATTCAGTTTATTTATATAGCCCAAATTCACAACATTTTAACTGAAGGTACTCATGAAACTCAAATCAGCCTGATATGGAGGGATTTTATTGGCATGTTTTATAAACTAATGAAAGTACTTAAATTATTCAAGATAAAGCGAAGGGACACATGATAAAACTAATCCTGTAATTCCTTAAAACATCTTGAACCAATATTAGCCTAATTTGTCATATTTTAATATATCAGTATGCAGCTATCGGTGTTTACTGACTGACTAACCAAAACCTATTGGTCCTTTGAACCAATTTCATATTAAGCTTGTTTTATTTCAACCTGACTTAACAGCCAAAATGTTTCACTTTCAGTTTCAGTCACACTGATAGGATCAGCTTTCATGTGACTGTGGAGAACTAATGCACACTGAACTGTTGCCCAATTCCTTGTTTCATTTTCTTCTGTGCCCCCTTTAAAAAACAACAGCCCCATCCCAACTACAATCTGATCCGGAAACTCTCCTATATAAGGACCTTTCCCAGTCGGTTGCTACTCCCTCACCCGACCCACTTCTCACTCCGCTGGTGCGTGCCATATTAAGTCCCATCTAAAACGGTTTATACAGGAACGAGGAACTCTAATTTAATGCTCTTAGAAATAATTTTATGCCACCAACACGTAACCATGACTCATATATAAGATATAGTATATACTATAAATATATAACAGCAAAATCCTTTGTCATCTTTACAGTCGACAGGCTGCAGCCATGTCCACATTCCTAATTTTCCAGCCACTTTAGTTGAAATTCGGATTTTCCCATCCTCTAGCTTTTTCTTCGCCTCTAGCTTCCTTTCCGAACGTACGGCTTTACGATCAACCTGAAGCAGTTCCGCACAAACCAGTTGAATCTCATAATTTATGTGACGACATTGTTTTTAAACACTTTTTTTTTATAAAGATTTTTAATGCTACGATAATCACATTTAATGAATTTATTGACAATTAAGGCCTTAAATTTAAAAAATAATGATTTAATGATTTTTAAAGACCCGCGGAAACCCTGTAAAACCAATTACATACGGGTGTCTTAAATGTAGAGTGAGGATCTGTATCCCACTCAAGCAGCCCTAAATTGTGGTCGGCATGGAGGACAGGACATAACTTCCATTTATGCGTCTCACACATTCATGAAGCAAAGAAACACTAACAAAAATGATTTCACACAGGCTATAGAAAATAATTTTGTTAAAAGTTCAATTGTTTTGACAAGTTTCCAAACGGTTACAAATAAATTTATAACTAGAAGGTTTTTAAAAAATTGGGGTTAATGAAATATTTTCTCAGATCCATTAAAGTACCCTGGATAAGCTTAATTTATCGTTACAGTTTAACAGCATGCAGGTGAGCGCAGATCGTAGAAAGACTTTATAAAGTACTGAGGTCCATTAAATTATTTTAGTAAACAATCTGAAATATATACAACATGTAATGTATATATAAACAAACATGAATTAATATAATGGATAAAATTGTTATAGCTCAAAATACCTCCAAGTATTAAAGGTGTAGTGGAGGACAATCTTTTTCCGGGTGGATCAAAAAAATAAGTGGTCTTCCTAATTGTCAATCATTCTGGTGAAATGTTTACGTGCTTCTCCTTATTTTCACTTACTGGAGGTGAGTCTGACATAGTGGAAAAATTGCAAATATTTTGAGTAAGCTTGTATGATCTATGCAAGCAGCAACTTTTTAACAGCGTGCACACTAAGAAATGGGCTCATGCATACTTTAATAAGCGTTACCTCTCGGGAGTTGGTACAGGGCTTTGCGTGTGCATTTTTTTTTTAAGTGCAGAGGGCGGGACTTTAGAAAAATTCCCCAAAATTCTCCACCAATACTGTAGAGAGCAAATAATTTATAATTAGGACAATAAAAATAGGATGAACACGGGGCGATTTTCTTATTTCTTTTCCAATTCTGATATCATTTTGATGGTCTTCCTTTAGTGAAAGTTTGTTGTTGCTTTAGTAGTAAACAACTTAATGTACAATGGTGCTGTGTTACAATATTTTTAATCTCCAACTGTTAAATAATCCAAAGCTTCACCCTGTTTCTAACTCAGATCAGCTGTGCGCACCTCGGGTTGGTCATAGCGCTGATAAGAGGTGGACAGGAGGTATATATATATATGCATAGACTTTGTCCATTTCTTATTATAAATATCGAGTTTTTTGTATTCTTCATAGTTTTTTATTAGCCTACTAAGGATTGTTTTTGTGTCCCCAACTTTTTGGCGATGCGTGGGCATATCCGATTGGGAGAGGCCCTAAGCTGCAAGGATCATGTCCCTCACTGAATAGTCGATCCCCCATAAACACAAGAGCTAATTGACCTTTAATATAAAATAAATCATGTTTTGGCTCTCTGATGTTAGATTTAACCAAAAGGGTGGATGTGGCCTCAAATTTAGATGCAACTCAATGATTTCTACATCTGCTAGCAGATTCCAAAACACTGAGACCGTTTCATTTTACAACAGAGTAGAAGGTCTAGGTCTAATGCTTCCATCATTTTTTGGAGTTTAACACTGATCTGAATCTGCAGCAGTTATTTGTTGCGTGTGTGTTGCAATCCATGACTTTACACTATAAGAAATATCTGGATGAGAGCTGCTAAGGATGAGCCTGATGGGTGCATTCCCAGCCATCATGGCTCCACCTGACCTCCACTCACCTCTGAGTCCTGTTTCTGCTTCTTGGCAACCATTCCGGTCTTTAGGAACACACCGCCCCGGCGCTTCCCCACCTGGGTTAGGGGATAGAAGACTGAAACCGTTACAGTGGTCCTTGTAGACTGGATTGCCAATGAAGGAAACTACACCAGAGCAGAGGGGCTACATTTAGCCTCCTGCTGCACCACCAGTGAAGAGCATCCCTAAACCTTTTACCTCTATAGGCTGGAATATTAACACTGGTGTCTACTTATAAATAACGATATCAGGAGGAAAAAAATCACTGACATATGTGGACATTATAAATCACATATGGATGAAAAAGTGTTTCAGCTTTGGCTCATCTTACAACTGCTAAACCCCTTACAAAGCTGGTCACAGGAGGGGCCTTCTTTTCCACTGAGGTCTGTCCTTGCTCGGTGGCCCTCGCCTCTCCACCTGTTCCCTGCGCCTCCCTTTTCCTCTTCTCCTCCTCCATCTTCTTCTTAAAAATCTCCATGAAGCTGCCGTCGTTGGCGAACACGTTGGCCACCGCAGGGGCCGCTGCTGCTGCGGGGCTGCCGGATGGAGACGCGGGGCTGGAGCCCCCGCTGCTGCTGCCGCCGCTGGTCTTGTGTTTGCCGTGTGCTCGCTGAGGATCCATGTCCTCCGGTGTAACTTTCAGAAACAGACGCACAGTCCGGCGGGTCAAAATGAGCCGCTAATATTTCTTTATGTGGCCTTTAAAACGCCACTAACTACCAACTGGAGCCAGTAAAGAAACAAATATGAGGAGACTGGCGTGGTTTCTAAAAAACGGGCCTAAAAGGAACAGAAAACGTCCTTCTTCCGGTGCAGAAATTCGAGAAAAACAAAAGCAGTCGCAGGCTAACCTGCCAACGCGGCTAACACCCGTTTTCTAAGGCCTCTCTGTGTAAAAAACAAACCGCCATCCACCTTAAACCTCTCTTGTGGATCGATCAACGCATTAAAATCTAATCGGCAAAGCGATAGAAGCGTCGAATTTCAACACCGATCTAAAGCAACCTAAAAGATTTATCGTCGCTAACTCTCGCCACCCATCACCGTCGGTCGGCCATCTTTATTTTTTCTGCTATGCGCTTTGTGCCTCTAGCGCCCCCTCCTGGCTTGGTGCA